ATAAACTCATTCTGTTGTCTATATGTGATTCTTTAGCATGCATTATTTCAATAAAATAAAATGTCTAAACATTGGGACTATTTACTTAGTGTACATTATTTCTATAAAATAAACTGTCGAAGCCATTGTGACTATATTTACTTGGTGTAAATTATTTCAGTAAAATAACATTTAAATAAAATAAAATATCATGTCTAAACCATTGTGACTATTTATTTAGTGTACATTATTTCAATAAAAAATAAATAAATAAATAAAGCAAAACAAATAAAATTAAAAAATTCTAAACCATTGTGACTATATTCACTTAGTGTATATGATTTCAGTAAAGTGAAATAAAATAAAATAACAAAAACGTATAAACCATTGTGACTATATTTACTTTGTATACATTATTTTTATAAAATAAATATAAAAGAAAAGAAAATTTCTAAACCATTGTGACTATTCATTTAGTGTATATTATTTCAATTAAATTAAATTTGAAATTAAATTAAATCAAATTAAACACAAACACGTCTAAGTGATGTTTTATTTATTATTCTATAAAATTTTTCCAGCAGCATCTGGTTGGCACAGGTGGCCTGAAGACTTTCCAGAAGCAGGAACAGCCCTAAAAATTACAGCAAGACCAAATTAGATCTGAAGCATCAGCTGAAACGAAACACTTTTATGGAGTCAAACACCTTTTATGCAAACACTCTCTTTTTTCTGTGGGACCGTATTATTGTTTATATGACACGTCAGTCTTGACTTTAAAGCCAAAACTGTTTAATTTAATACACATTCATCTGTATGTGACTGATTCTCTGGTGTACATTGTGAAAATAACATAAAATTAAATAAAATAAAATAACAAATGTCTAAACTATTTTGACTATTTACTTTAATACACATTCAGTAGTATTTGGCTGATTCTTAAGTGTACATGTCAAAATAAAATAATAAAAAAATAAAATAAATATCTATCTATATTATAAAGATAATAGTAAATAAATAAATAAAGCAAAACAAATAAAATTAAAAAATTCTAAACCATTGTGACTATATTCACTTAGTGTATATGATTTCAGTAAAGTGAAATAAAATAAAATAACAAAAACGTATAAACCATTGTGACTATATTTACTTTGTATACATTATTTTTATAAAATAAATATAAAAGAAAAGAAAATTTCTAAACCATTGTGACTATTCATTTAGTGTATATTATTTCAATTAAATTAAATTTGAAATTAAATTAAATCAAATTAAACACAAACACGTCTAAGTGATGTTTTATTTATTATTCTATAAAATTATTTATAATTTTTTTATAAATTATTTCTATAAAATAAAATATAAAATAATTTCTGAACCATTGTGTCTATTTATTAAATCAAATCAAAATCAAGTCGTCAAATCAAATCAAATCAAATTTAATTCAATTCAATTCAATTAAAAAATCTACACAAGCTATTGGTTGTTTTAGGCTACCGTTGCAAGTAATACAGCCTTTCTAAAATCCTGACAATAATGGTCTGCTGTTTAATGTTAATTTAAAAGTTACAGTAGTAGTATCAAATACGGGTAGACTTTTTGGGAAATGTAGAGATGCTCTGAAGCCTGACCTTCACTTTCAACCTCCACATCCCAGTCAAAAAGCCTGAATGGATAAACATGAATATGAATCTGAATACTCAAATACTGAATTTCACAAAAAAACTGATCAAATGTGTCGTGAATGGCACTTAATACACCAAAACCTAATGTGTGACCTGGAAATCCTTACAACGAGAGGTCAAGGACTGTCCTAAACATCAGTGTGAAGCTTCAAAAGCTGTCTGAATCTGAATAACACAGAAGAAAGACAGCAAATAATTAAAGGACGACTAAACTACCAGCTGGAAACAGGCGTTTGCTGCATTCTTGGGTTGTGTTAAACGTTTATGAGATTGAGTTCAGTAGTGTTGACAGGGTGCGCCTGCGTTTACGAGCCTCCTGACAGCTTCACCATCAAACTACAACACAAACACGCCTGTGAACAGATTACAAGGCCCGTCTTTGAACAGCTGTAACTCAGGAACGGTTAACCTGGTTATAGTCAGAATGAGGTCAAACGCAGGACACACACAGGATTATTAACGCTATACATCAAAACCAACGGACAGGAGCTACAGTTATCAGCTTCTCTCTGTGTCATAAATGAACCCTCAGCAAACACGTCACCTGCCTGCGATGAGACTCACAGGTACACGGGACATTCTGTGCCGTCTCTGGTGGTCTGGAGCAGATCTGAGATCAGAAGACCAGGGTCAAATTAGAAGACAATGATTTACAAGCCGTCAGCTGTCAGGGATGTAAATACAGAAGCACAGCTGACATGGAAAACAGTCAAAACTGAAACGCAACTGCAGAGGTCACACGGGTCACGAGCCTAAACTGAGTCAAAGGCATGTTAAAACTAGTTACTGAAAGCAGCGATGCATAAATACATGCTCTGTATGTATATAAAAAAATTAGAATATCGTGAAAAAGTTATTTTTTTGTAACTTATTTCAAAAAGTGAAACTTTCATATATTCTAGATTCATTACATGTAAAGCAAAATATTTCAAAAGTTTTTTTTTTGGTTTTAATTTTGATGATTAGTGCTTACAGCTCATGAAAGTCAAAAATCCAGTATCTCAAAAAATATTAGAATATTTACATTTGAGTTTCATTAAATGACCATCCCTATAAATTCCGGGTATCTTGTTCTTTGAAACCACAATAATGGGGAAGACTGCTGACTTTGATCGTCTTCTGGACCATTGCTTTGACACCCTCCACAAAGAGAGGTCACAGAAGCTCATTACTGAAAGAGCGGCTGTTCACAGAGTGCTGTAGCAAAGCATATTAAATGCAAAGTTGACTGGAAGGAAGAATTTGGGTAGGAAAAGGTACACAAGCAACAGGGATGACTGCAAGCTTGAGAATACTGTCAAGCAAAGCCGATTCAAACACTTGGGAGAGCTTCACGAGGAGAGGACTGAAGCTGGAGTCAGTGCATCAAGAGTCTCCACGCTCAGACGTCTTCAGGAAAACTTCTGAAACAGAAACAACGTCAGAAGCATCTCACCTGGGCTAAGGAGAAAAACAACTGGACTGTTGCTCAGTGCTCCAAAGTCCTCTTTTCAGATAAAAGTAAATTTTGCATTTCATTTGGAAATCAATGTCCCAGAGTCTGGAGGAAGAGTGGAGAGGCAAAGAAACCATGTTGCTTGAAGTCCAGTGTGAAGTTTCCACAGTCAGTGATGATTTGGGCTGCCATGTCATCTGCTGGTGTTGGTCCACTGTGTTTTCTGAAGTCCACAGTCAACGCAGCCATCTACCAGGAAATTTTAGAGCACTTAATGCTTCCTTCTGCTGTAAAGCTTTATGGAGATGCTGATTTCATTTTCCAGCAGGACTTGGCACCTGCCCACACTGCCAAAGGTACCAAAAGCTGGTTCAATGACCATGGTGTTACTGTGCTTGATTGGCCAGCAAACTC